ATATTCATATATGTAGTAGGATTAGGATTACCCATATCCCCTTCCCTATATATATGGCTTGTATTTGTACTCCTCAATACATGGTAGAGAAAATTTGTAATCTGGTGAGAAAATATTGATCTATAAATCTGTTTCTCTTCTGTCTGTGGAGGTTACTAACAGGTTGTTAGTAAACCACGTTAAATCTTTGTCTTCTTTCGAGATTGTCGATTGTTCGTGTTCATACTTTCTCGGGTCTGTCATAACAAAAATGAAACGCAAAATAATTAGATTTAACCTTTTTAAAATTATTGGGGTACATTGAATTGCTTATTGGTTAAAAGTCGGGTTCGGGTTTCGGGTTGGAATGTCGGGTTCGGGTCGGGTCGGGTTTTTGGCTTAAAAGTCGGGTTTCGGGTCGGGTTTGGGTTTTGGTTTTAAAAGTCGGGTCGGGTTCGGGTATAGTATTATCCGACCTGAACCCAACCCGTTGCCATCCCTAAGTACACACTACGAAGTACATCTTAAAGATTATACTCCCTCCGTCCGGGAATAAACTTCCCAATTTGACTTTTCCTCATTTTTAGTGAGTGTTGATTTTAAGAGGGAAATGTCCAAAATACCCTTGTAGCCTCATGACCCCCACTGCCTTAGAACCCCTAGAGTACCCACCACCGCCCTAGTTCCCACCATCGCCCACCCACCACTGCCCCACCCCCGACAGCCCCATCATCACCGCCTCCACTCCAATTGCTGACAACGCCATCATCACCATCAGTCACACAGTTGTCCCCACCCACCACCATCGCCATCTCTAGGAGAAAGAGAAAAGGGGGGGGGGGAGAATGATGAGAAGAAGATTAAGCACAGATCTACCGTAGATCCACCGCCACCTCAGCTCCCACCACTATTGTTTGGTCCATCATCGCCATCTAGTCCATCCACCGTCACCTCAGCCTCATATATAGATCTAGCAGAGATATAAAGAAAAAGAAGAAGGCGTGTGACGGTGGAGAAAGAAGGATGAGGATGAGAAAAAAAGAAAAAGAAGCGAAGAAGAAGAATAGGAGGAGGAGGAGAAGAAGAAGGGAGAGAGAGAGAGAGAGAGAGAGAGAGAGAGAGAGAGAGAGAGAGAGAGAGAAATAGGAGAGCTAATGCTTTGGACGAGAAAAAGGGGAGAGAAAGCAAAAAAAGAAAATGAGATTTAATAAGAGGGATAGCTTAAGAAGAATTGGGATGAAAAGGTAGAATAAGAAGATTATTTTCGGACGGAAAGAAATGTAGAATGTGAAGATTATTTCTGGACGGAGGGAGTATTAAAGTAGGAACAAAAAATGAAAAAACAGAGTTGTATTATAATCGCATATTATAGGTACTGTATTAAAATGAAAAAAAGTATTGTAATTACTATCCCGTCTGACCAGAAATTATTTGGTTTTTGATCGGAATTTTACCGATCCTTAATTTTTAGTCTGTAGACTAGTCTGGAATTTTACTAGTCTAGCCCGGAACCATTTTTTGATCCAACTCAATTTTCCGGTCCGACCCAGATTTTGTACATATACGTGAAAGACGAAGGAGAAACTTTGGGAGAAGTGCTGGTCCTCTAGTAGTCGCTCGCCTCCCTGCATCACCGGGGGTATGTAGACCTGCAAAATAGAACCAGAACCGATTACCCGAATCGAAATATCCAAACTCGAAACTGAAATGACCCGAAAAATGAAGATTCGATCTATAACCAAAAACCCGAAATGATCCAAATCAAACCGAAACCAAACTAAATAATTCATATCCGATTTAAATCTGAAACCGATAATATCCGAACTGATTAAACCCGAAACCGATTAGATTTGAAACCGATAATATCCGAACCTGATTAAAACTAAAATTGATAAATTCAGAACTATGTTTGCCTTTCAATAAGCATGTTATATTTTTAAATTTTTACTTAAATTTACCATTTGAACTAAGTAAATTACTTGCTGATTTCCTCGTAAAATGGATTATCTTCTTGAAAAAAAGTACAAAATTTCATGCTTTAAATTTATTATATGTAGAAATTAAAGATAAGTTATACATATAAATGATAACGCACAAACAAATAAAATTTCTGTAATTTATATATAGTGAAGTGTGATATTCTTTGTGAGACGAAATGATTATATGATAAATTGTATGGAATAACTAGATTTTATCATAATTTCATTCCATTACAATACATTTTATTGATTTGATAGTTAATTTCATTAGTTTCAAACCAATTCACTCAATATTAGTCAATAAAGTTAGATGCTAGTGTTAGCATTTTGAAAAGAATCTTTAGCGGAAAAATTTAGTGTTATCATTTTCAAATTTGATCTACACCATTACATTAAGGTGTAAAATTAATTATATTTGACTCTATTAAATTTAATTTTATCTATTTTCAACCAAATACACTCAATAATTTATAAATTTTGCACTCAATTGAATAAAATTCACTTAATTTCACCTAATTTTACTCAATTTTTACCAAATTATATTCAAATGGAACATAACACTATTTGATTTTATCTTTTATCTTTTCATTTATAAACATAAGTATATTAGTAGATGTGAGAAAAATTTGATATTTAAAAACTAAATTTTAAAATCAATTTAATTATATTAAATTTATATCATAATTAGATATATATGTTTTCATAATTTGTAGTCCAAATTTATAAAATATGTCTAAAAAGTCAAAAAAGGAAGATTATTTAGGGTAGAGATAATATAATTCGAAAAAAAATATAAAATAATATGAGGTATTGAATTGATGATAGATTGATAAATGTGATAAAACATAAAAAGAAACAGGGATAGTTAAATTTTAATTAGAAAATAATATATATCCAAAATATATTTGATCCGTAACTGAAATATATCCGAACCGAACTAGACCCGAAACCGAAATATATCCGACTCAAATTGTATCCGAACCGAAATCTATCCGAACCGATTTATAACCGAACCGTATCTAAACCAACTCGATACGAAACCGAAAAATGTATAGAATCGAATCAAATCCGAACTGAAATTTAACCGATCTAATCCGAACCAAACCGATTATAACATATAACCGAAAGTATCCGAACCGAAAAAGTCCAACCCGAAACCGATCCGGTTGACCCGATTGCCACCTCTAGGGGTATGTATAGTGTACAAATGTACGTCGTGGTATACCCCTAGCATTTTCAGATACACGAAGATGCAAAACGATTACCCAATCACTAAGACCACGGAGGAGGATCAACCTGTCTATTTTCCGTGTATATGGTTCGTCTTGTACTATATTCATATATGTGTATATGTAAATGTGTCTCTATGAGAAACAACACAGATATATTACAGAATGCTTAAATGACTGCTCTGTCATGAATATATACTGGCTGACCCTAGACCTGGCAAAATTTGACCCGACTCGTTACTAATCAAAAACCCGACCCGAAATTAGCGTGTGTTGAACATTGATTTTGCTACCCAAACCCGAATACCCGTTAAATTTTCAGGTCAGAACAGGTCGGGTCGGGTTTGACCCGACGGGTTATGCACTTAATTGTTTATTTTTATTAGTTATTTAGTTTTATATATTCATTTAAAAAATGATATACCCATTAGGCTACTCAAAACTCAAAAGGCGTAATATATATATATATATATATATATATATATATATATATATATATATATATATATATATATATATATATATATATAGATATACATATATATATATATATACATATATATATATACATATACATACATACATATATATATATATATATATATATATATATATATGTATGTATATATATATATATATATATATACACACATATATATATATATGTGTGTGTGTGTGTGTGTGTATACATATATATATATATATATATATATATGTATGTATGTATGTATATGTACTTAATTGTTTATTTTTATTAGTTATTTAGTTTTATATATTCATTTAAAATATGATATACCCATTAGGCTACTCAAAACTCAAAAGGCGTAATATATATATACACACACACACACACACAGATATATATATATACATATATATATGTATGTATACATATATATATATACATATATATATATATATATATATAGATACATACATACATACATACATACATACATATATATATATATATATATATATACATATATATATACATACACACACACTAGCATTTGCATGCGCGTTGCGCGAGATTTAGTGCCCGATCACTATTTTTTCCGATGAACGGTTATGTTATTTTTGAGTAATTGACTGATTATTCTGTAAGAATAGTGTTGTTGTTATAATATTGTGTACGTAGCGTTCTAGGGTGTAATGTAATTTATTAAGTAATGTTTTAATTCAAAATAGACATGCATAATATACATACAATGGAGTGTGGCATACCCTTTTAACACAAAGTTTAGTCATGGTGAACAAAACTAACAATGATAGGAAGTGTGTAAGAAGCACGTTAAAACTTTAAAAAGGGATAAGTGACAAGGAAGAATCCAAGTCGTATCTTGTTTCCGCACAGAAGTACACTCAAAGATTGTTATTGAATTTCAAATATAGGAACTTTGCATAAGCGAAAAGCATGAGTTACAAAAGTGTGTCTTAAAGGAAGAGTCATAAGTGCCTTCGAAAGAATGTTTATGGCTATGGAGCTTCAAGTATGACATTCGAGTGATGGTTGGAGTGAGATGCAGCCTAGGTTTCGATTCCCAATCCTCTGTATTCGTGTAGGTCTCAAGTACTTAAAGGTTAAGTCTTTGTTGTGAATGTTCGGGTGCCATCTTGTGTACTTTCATTAATCCACATTATATTTTAAGTAGATAAACATTAAATAAGTTATTGATCAAAAGTTTTTATACGG